TGGACTTGGAGTAAGATCTTTTTGATTAAGAGTTTCTTTAGTTTTTAAAGACTTTTAATCAATATGTTAGAATTGTGATTGGAGGTTTCATAAAAGAACTGATAACTTATGGTCTTGAAATAATGAAGATGGATGTCTATTTTTAAGTAGTATAATAATTTTTTTGATTTTTTTGGTTTTTTTTTTTAGTCTTTTTTTTGCATTGGTACAGTAGTTTTTTTATGTGAAGTTGACTTTGGATTTTTTGATATGCTTATTGAAAATATTGAAGCAAATATTATAAAAGCCATTCCAGTCAAGTGAAAACAAAAGGCTGGTCCAATAGGCTATTTCTTTAATAAATTCTTGGATATCTTCTTTTGAAGTTTTGTTGAGATCAAATTTGAAAGTAGATTAATATGTTTGAAATTCAAAGTAGCTAAGTTTTATTGAGATGGCTTTATGGTTTGTTAAAATAGTATCAATTTTTTATACCTCATACCATACTACTTTAGAAACAAGGTTTCTTGAGACCCAGGCTTGATTTATGCATGAGACACTAGTGATAGTAAAGTATGTATATTCTTTGTTAGTGTATTGCTGCCCAATATTAATATAGTTGTTAAGATACTTATAGATTAATTGTTTGTATGAAGTAGTTTTAGCTCCAATAGATAGACTGTTCTTTGGATAGATATTGAAGTCTTCTAAGATTATGTGATGGAGTTTGTGGTATATGGCTAATTTGATAGTTAGATGTACTTGTTTGAAGGCTGAATCTCTTTTCTTTCTTTCATATGGAAGATAAACTATTGTTAGAAGTATATTCACTCTTTCTTTAAATTTCAAAATAATTATTAGGCAGTACTCAGAAACATCACATATTTTAAACACATGTGATAAGAGGTCTTTGCTGATTAAGTCTTCAAAAAGTACCAAACTAGTATTAAACTGATATTAAAATAGTACCGATCTATAGTAAATTTAATATATATGTTGTAACCTATTTATATGATTTTATAGTAAATTTAAGTATCAAACTGATATCGAAGTGATATCATTAGAAGCTCTATTACTAATAATTAGCATAGTATCACTTTTTGTGATATTTGAATTGTCATAGATAATTGATCTTCCATTGATATTATTTAGATGGTGGTTTTTTTTTTTAAGTTTAGTTTTGATACATAATAAGATAGATCTATTATTTACCATATTAATTAAGGCTTTGAGTTTGGTTGGATCAGGTATTAATAGTTGTAAAAGTGATTAGGTTTTTGATGTTGCTGGTATTGTTAGGGTTAGTTGAAGATAGGTCATTTTAATTAGACTGGTTTAGTAGTATTCGATTGTAATTTGTATTGAGATTATTACTTATAGTTGTTATTCTAGAAATGGTATGAAATCAAACTCTGGTTTAAGAAGCATCTCTTTGATGACTAGGAATTCAGAAAGTCTGATGAAAAAAAGTGTTTGATGAAGTTGATAGATTATTGTTAGGAGGACATTATTGTCAATTAGAGAAAATTTGAGAGTCATTAAGTTGTTGTTTGATAAAATTTTGTTAATTTTATTAAGGTTATCTGGCAATAGAACTTGTGGATTAATGAATTACTTTTCAGGAATTCTTAGAAACTCATAGTAGTTGTGAAGAATTCCAATTTTTTCTTTCAATTATTTGTCATTGCAAGATAGTTAACCAATTATATCTGGGCTAATGTTTTCTAGTTTTCGTGGAAGTCTTGATTTGTTGATTTGGGCAATTTCTGGAAATACTTACAGAGGTTTTAATGAAAGTAAAAACTGATATTCTGATCTCAAATTCTTGATTAGAAATTGGATATTATAAGAGTTTGTAATGGGAATTTGAATTTTTAGTTTGAAACAATATTTGTTAATAGTAAATGGCCATGATGAAACAAGTCTTTTAAATTTGAAAAAATTGGTAGAAAAATGTTCGAAGAAATATTTGATTTTCAGACTTTTAACAATTTTTCAAATATCAGTTTTAGCAGTGTTAAGTGGAAAAAAGGAGACAAACTCTAAATTCAACAAATCAGAAGAAGGAAAAAGGGAGCTCTTGGGAGGTGAAAGATCAAAATAAAATGAGTGGACTTTGGAAAAAACAATAAAGAATCTCTTAAGTTCCCTAATTATATTTCCCAAGTTTTGTAAGTCTTTTCTTCTTCTGACTGGAAATAAATGTGATACTTCTTTGGGTAGGTCTTAAGAGTAGCCAGGAAGATCTGAAAGTGAAATAAAGTATGAATTTGGCAGGAGATCAAACCTGTAGAATAAGTAAAGGAAGCTTGCAATGCTTGCTGTCATGCTTCTGTCAAGAATAAGAATTCTATAAGAAATTTTAACTTTTATTTGTGCAGAGATTAAGTCAAGAGATGAGGGAAGTTCTGAAAGATTGTCTTGAACCATTTTTCTGCTTCTTTGGAATAGATTATAATAGTCTAGTTTGTTGCTCTCTTTAGAATAACAAAAAAAGTTACAGCCATATTCCATAATTTGTATTAAAAAATATGAATTAAAATTGAAAATGTTGATATATCTCAAGTATGTGATAAAAAGACTAGCACTTAGCAAAAGCTTAATCTTGGAATAGACTTCTCTATTGAGCTTAGCAACTTTATATTTCTCTTTATAGATTCTTTGGAACCAACTATTCAGCTTTTTATATTTTTTTGATAGTTTTCTTTAAGTTCATTAGTTTTGCTAATATTGAAAAATCTCATGTCTCTTGCTTCTATTTTAATAAAGATAGCTAGATAGGATTTTTGTTTAACTTCATCTTTGGGTTGTTGATTGATATCTAGTAGAAGATTAATTAGTTCTGCTAGGTTATCTCTAATAGTGTTAAATTTGAATGCCCAGCTGATAATGCGATAATATTTTGTAATAAGTTCATCAAAAATATATTGGTCTTTTTTCTCAAGATTAGTATTAATAGATATATTATAATCCTCTTTTCCTGAATATTTCATCATTAGATCTTTCTCATATAACTGGAGTCTCTTATATACTGTTTTAAGCCTTCTTTTATTAGTTTTTGCTTGATGAGTTTTTTGGTTTTTGCTGACATTTTGAAGGTCGAGAGTTGGGATGTATAGATAAGGAAAAACATAAAATGGCAAGAATAAAATTGTTATATTGGTTGGGAATATTGATTGAGTAAGATATAATTGAGATATCTGAAAGATAATTGTTAAGAATCTTTTTTTTTCTTTGATGACTATTGGAATTCTTAGTATTTGCATTGGAGATATTTTTTTTTCCTAGTAGTGGTAGGTGCTTATAGCATTGTCCATATTTATATCTTCTGATATAGGAAAGTTAAGTCAATAAACATCAATTGATCTTCCTTAATTGGATCCTAAACAGGTAACTATAGCTGATTAGTTGACAAGCTTGGTGAATTTAATTGATGATTTATTAAGTGGTGTCTGATTTTCAATTGGTTGAATATTATAGTTAGTTGAAATATTTGATTGATAGTTATATTGATATTTGTTTAACTTGGAGTTCTGTTATGTGATTCTGCTAGTGAAGCAATTTTGAAGTTTGTAAAGATAGTGGCTGATTTATTTTTCCCAGCTAGTATAATATTGTAAGAATAAATAAGCTTTTCTTTTTCTTTATGTTTCTATTGATTTGAATCATATTTCAGGGCACATGTTTTGAGTAATTCCATTCTTTAATCAACACTTTCTGAAAGACTTTATTTCTCAGTTGACTTTTGCTTGTGAATATTTTTTGAATGAGTTGTAAAAGTTTTATCAAGAAATTAAGAAAGATTTTCTGTAAGAACTAAAACTTGTACCAGGAGATTCTTTTGATCTTCAGAGATTGTAAACTCAATTTGGAATACACTTAGATTTGTAGAATCTGGTCTGGAGATGTTTGTGATAGGAATAAATAACTTGGTGAGATAGTTGTTAAATAAGGGAGTTGTTATTATTCTGGATAGTTCTATAAGAATAATTTTTTTGTTTTTATTTTGATATACAAGTATTATGGATATATAATAATAAGTTTTGTCTATGAAAATAACATCTAGAAGAAGAATATTATTGTTATTATCTGTATGGAATGTTGTGATTAATGAAAAATAGATATTATTATTATTAATTGGGTTTGGTTTTAAATTTTAGTTGGTTATAATTAATTGGATAAAATAAATTACTAATATGTTTACTATTGATATGTTCTTGTAATAATATGTTTATTGTTGTTATTGTTTATACTTGTAAAAACATAATTGTAATATTGACATATCAGTTTTGTTAATATGTCAGTTATATAATATATCTGTTTTATTGTCATGTTTGTGTTATTGACATATTGATATTGTTTACTTAAACTTATTTTGATTTTAGTTGACATATAAATCTTGTTTACTTAAGTTTGTTTTGATTTGCTTTATGTATTTTAATATATTAATCACTTGTTGGAAGTAAACTGATTCTGGTTTTTTTCCCAGTTGAAAATTTTGTTATATAATTATAGATAGTTGATAATAATTAATATATTGTTGATTTGTTTATTTGGATCCTTTAATTTAAATTCATTGAGAAAAGTTTGATGTCTCCTTGTTTTTTGTTTGATGTTGAGATTACCTAATTTATCAGGTGGAATCTGGCCAACAAAAATTCTTCTGGTGTTTAGAGAGATACAAAATCTTATACATAATTGACTAGAAGCTAAAAGAGTTAATGTTAACTATTCTTTGAGCTTACTGTAAATTGTAATGCTTGTGTTTTCCTTTTTCTATTATAATTTTTTATCTATTGAGAAAAGAAAAAGTATCTAACAAAGAGTTATTAATAGTTAATATAATTCACAGAATAGATTTATCTTTCTAAGTAATTATGTTTTGATTATAGTTTTCTATAGTTTTCTAATTCTTTTATGATTTTTTAAGAATAAAGATGATTTTTGACAAGTGTTCTCAAAATTATCAAAAAAGGTAATTTTTAAAAATTTGATAATTTTTGGAAAAGAGTTTTTAAATTTTACTAAAAAATTTAACTTTTTTTTTGAATACTTATAAACTTATATAATTAAGATTCTTTTATTTTTTAATAAATTATATAAAATTATTTTAATAAAAAATATATTTCAATTGAAAATAAAAATTATAACAAATCAATTTATTACTTTATATTATTTATATTAAATAGATAAAAATTAAAAAATAAAAGTTTTTGTTAAATATTTATATAAATTTATTTAGAAATAATCATTTTGAATATTATTATAAAACAATATTTCAATTATGAATATTTATAAAAAGATAAAATTAAAAATAATTATGATAAATAATATTGGTTTTATTATCAAATATTTTTTAATAGAATAAACAATTATAAAAATATTTTTAAGTATATTAATATAATTAATAAATATTTTATAAAAAATAACTTATAATCTTGTTTATAGAAATACAATATTAAAATCAATAAATTCAAAAACCTTTAGACAATATAATCTTTTTATTAATTATAAAAAATATGAAAATAAATTTATTGAATTTTTCATAAATATAAAAAAATATTTATTTTCTAAATTTCAATTAAATTTATTATTTATTTTAATAATTATTTATTTTTTTTGGAATTTTTTAAAAATTTATATTAAAAAGAAAATGAATTTAAAATTGAAGAAATAATAAACAAACTAAAATTTATATTTCATCAATAAAAATAGTTTTACAAAAGAAATTCTTTTATTAATATAATATATTAATAAAAAATAAAATAAAATAATCATATAATTTAGAATTTTGTAATAATATAAATTCAAATATAAAGGTTTTAATATGTGAACATGCTTATTATTTTACATGTTTTATTAAGATATTAGATTATAATTGTAATTATTGTTTTTATATATTATAATTGTGATTGTTGTTTTTATATATTATAAATTATCAATTAAGAATTGATGACTTCTTTTAATTCTTAATTAACTTCAAAAGAAAATAATTATAAAAATAATATCAAAATTGAAAATGATAATATGGATATTAATAAGATAAATAATAATAAAATTTTTAGTAATATTATTTTAAATGAAAATGATTTTGATATAGAATTAAAAATAACTATTGATGATTTTATTTCATTAATAATAAAAATTTGTTATTATTTAATTTTAAAAGACTTTTCTATTGAATTTTTAGAAAATACAAATCAAAATAATAATAATGAATTTTATATTTCTAATAAAAGAAAGAAATTTATATCTTACTAATTCAATTAAAAAATTATTTTATAAATATTATTATTTATTATTTATTATTATTACGTATTTATTTAACAAATTGTTTTTTAATTATATTTATGAAATTTAAAGTTATATCATATTGGAACAATACCGGTTCCGTGAGACTTTAAGTTGGACCAGTGATTTTCACGAATTTCACGCAATTTCGCACTACGTGACGATCTATAATATAGTCACGTGTAATCAATTAATTACGTATTATGCAGGAATTCTTGTAACTCGGAAATTTTACTCGGAAACAATACAAATACAGCTGTATGTACGCTGCACGGAGAACACCCTATGTCTTTTTATTTTTGGTAAAAATCTCTGATTATATGGGTAATTCTTTTTGAAGGCGGACAGGGATTTTTCTGACTTTATAATGTACTCCAGGAATTTATATTGTATATGTATTTTTCAAAAAATAGGGATCAAAAATCATATATAACATTTTTTGTCGTTTTCAAAAAGAATTAGTCATATGTTATTGCGCGTTGGAAATGTTTAAAAATTTTGACTTTCAATCAACGTTTGATTTAAATTTATATACTGTATATCCTAATAAACTAACCAAATTAATCAATTTTCACATCCGTTTTTTACAGTAGAATTTATGTCCTGGTCACGGCACAATCCTTGACCTAGTGATACTTTTGGGCAGGGGTAAGTGAAGATTTTTTATCTGTTGTTCCTCTATTAACATCAATTTTTTATATACTTTCACAGATAAAAGAAATGAAAGAAACAACATATCTAAAGGAAATAAAAGAATAAAAAGAAATAACGATAATGAGGTTAAGGATCGACTACTCTCTTTGGCAACCTCCTCGTTGGGACGCCCCTAGCGTCAATCGCTTTTTCAACATAACACTAGAAACTAAAACTTGACCAAAAACATTTGCACCGAACTACAACAAATGAATGAGATAGGTTTACAGTACATCAAAGATAGAGAAACTGAAATTGATAAAGGAAAAAAGAAAACAAAAACGTAATAATGATATATTCTAATAATTCCGAAAAGTTAGGTGCATTCTTAACTGATTCCATCACTTCAGTATCTACGGTATAAAAAAAAAATTGTATAAGCCTTAAATAACTTTCAGAGTAAAAAAAAAACAATAATATACAATGCTGATCAGTACAATACCTTCAAGCCATTCAGTTAACCGGGTGTCATTAGGTTGTTCTGGAAAAAATTCCTGGTTTAAATATTTTCTTATGTTAAAGAAGGTAGTAAATAAAAAATTTATCATACCACTTATAATTGAATTTAACGAAGATATAGAATCAGTTAGAACTTCTATCAAATACAAAACGAAAAAGAAATAATTATAAGTATACGTATGTTTTTTCATCTAAATCCTCAGTTGCAATAATAATAATAATAATATGAGATTTGAAGTATGTACTTATATTACCATCATATGTGAATTTGAAAATAGATGATTCATGGGGATAATTGTCACAACACTTTTCTCCCTCTCGAAACACAGTTCCTGTGATCATTCTGTCGTTGAGTTTTTCATACACAAAATTTGCATTTGGACGTTGATCGGGGTTCTCGGCCCAACACTCTTCATAAGTTCTTATATACTCACAAGGAGTAGATACTACTGGTTTTTCTCTTTCGCCTTTTAATATGGCTATTAAAAGACCACGAGAACTCAAACCTTTAAATGGTGATGTTCCACTCGAGATCATCCATAGCACCACTCCTAAACTATATATGTCCGATTTTTTGGTAAACTTGGCGTAGCTGTTTTCGTTTAACACTGTTGGATCTACAAATGCCAATAAGCCTTGAATTATGGAAAATGTCTGGCTTTTCCGGGACACGTCTTTTGACATTCCAAAGTCGGTAATCTTTGCCTTAATTCTACTATGTTTATCATCGCATGCCGATAAAACTATATTACCTGTATGCTAATTAAACATAAAGAAAATCATTAGATTTAGAGATTTAAACTATAAACAAATATTCTTTTACGTACTAGGTCTCTGTGTAAAATGTCATTAGAATGTAGAAAGTTCAAACCGCTCGAGACCTGTTTACCAATGTCAATCTTTTCTCTCCAAGTGATCGTGGAATGGTTATTCGTTAAATAATTATGTAAATCTCCTAAGTTGGCGTATTCTAGAATTATTATATAGGATCCATCGGGTGCTAAAAAGTAAAATAACGGTTATTATTAAATAACTGCTCAGTATACTTTCCTGAATGTAAGACTTACATCGACTAAAACGGTCAGATACATCGAAAGAATGGATTGTAAAAAATGTATACTGTAATTAATTAAATAGTAACGACACTTAAAGTTAAATATACCTTAATCCATAGAGTTTTATTACATTTTCATGATCGTTTTTCGCATTTACCGAGTGATAAATCTTAAGCTGGAAATTATACTGGTTAATTTTATTGAGTAAGTTTGAAATTGTTAACATCAACACACACCTCTCTGATAATTGCCGAGTGCTTTGTTTCATCTGACTTTTCTTTAATATGTTTTAGAATAGTCACTACACTACTGCCTTTTGAGTTCCATACTGCCTTTTGAACTCGATACGTTCCTCCATCAGTTATGTAGTTCCCTACACTGATTTTGTTATATTCGATAATATTTATATGTCCTTTTACTAGTTTCTCGATGTTTCGATGATTCTCTTCTCCTATCTTAAGTGATAATTAAAAATTAATATCAAAGGGCATAAGATTAATGAGGTATAAGTGTGATGTTGTTTTTATACACTATTTCACGTGATAGAAAGGTGTTCGATTTTTGAATTCATTACCAAATGTCGTCTGGTCGTTGTTTTACGATTTCTTTTTACTTTTCTTTTGCAATAAT